CGTCATACTTCTACGGAGCAGTTACTTCTCAAACGGTCAACCAATCGCTCCTGCACCGTTGGGCCGACCGCCTCTACTAATGTGGGCGTGCATGTACCTGCTCTATTCTGACATGGAGTCGCCTCGCTCTTTCCTCTTTCTGACCTGCGCCGTGGAGGTGTGCGAGTCTGCTGGTTGCGCTTTCCTCTCATTGTGCTGTTGTTGTGTGGCCATTTGTCGTCGCTTTGCTCCTTTGGGATGGCGCCTTCCGTTCCCTGCGCGACGATTCTGTTTTACGAAATACTCGAAAAGTAATTTGGCGTGACTTCCTTTTCCTCCTGGTTTCCCACGCCCCCGCCCCGTTTCTTCTTTCCTTCTCAAGTTGTCTTACCTTCGCTCTTTCCCCCCTTTTCCCATTGCATCTTCAGCTTCCTCCCTCTGCCTCTATGCCCCCTTACCGCTTCCTTTTTCACTTCCTTTTTATTGTACACTCTGAAACATTCAAAGTGATACGACGTATTACGACGTACATCCATCACCAGGTTTTTCTCCGCTGCTCACTTCCCGTAGCCAATCTCGCCTCTTTTGCAACCTCTTTTCCGTTCACTTACACACCCTTGGCCAATGACAGCCCTCGCCTCTCTCTGGTTGGAGCGGACCACACCCGCGCCATCCTTCTCACAATCTTTCAGCTGAGGACATTCTTTTTTTCTCTTTTTTTTTTAAAAAAAAATGCTAGCAGCGAGCACAGCCAAATGGTTGCTCCGTTCTCAAGGCTCGAAAGGCAGTCACACGAGTCCCTGCGCAGGTTGGTTGAAATCTTACATGCCAGTGTTACCGCACCCCCTGTCCTCGGCGCTGCGCGCGGCTGCATAGCGGCGGTGCCGGCTGCACGTCCCTATTCGTCCACCTGTCAAAGACCATTGGGGCCCTCCTTCATTTGTCTCTGTTTCGCAACTCGCAGCCACAGCTATCCAACCCTTTCTTGGAAAACAGCATCTCGACCGTCCACATGGAAGGCATCATGAGCATGGAATACAACTAATATTCTCTCCAATCGCATTCGAAAGATTGGAAGTCGCTTCGTCGTGCGTATGGTACGCCCGAAGCGCTATGTCGACGCAAGAAACTCCCTAAGCCGAATTTACTAACCCTTGTCGCTTTTATTATTTCGCATCCTGCCAAGTTCGTCTGATAAAGCCCAGCCGGAGCTGGGGCTGCCTATTCTGGTCATCTCCAGAACCCTGCGCCTTTCGACAAACGGGTTAGAATCCCTCTTTATGGCACTCAGAAGGTAGAATGCTATACTTCGTATCGCAGTCTTTTATCGTATGCCACACCTTCCCAGAACCCACTCCACAACCTACAACCTGCCGGGAGTCATTTTATATCTCTACATTTTCTTATTGCTCTGGCCCTTCCTGATGTGCTGGTCCATGAGCCCCGTCGAGGCTCACGGTGACAAAACAGGATGCAGTAAATCGGTTCACTTCAGTGAGTGCCGCCACTTTTGCGAAAAACAGCATACGCAGTAGCACGGATATCAAGACGGGGGCCGGGCACCAGAGTACAAAATCAAATCCCATCATTGTCTTGGGAATGCTACGGATAGGCGAGAGAAACGAATACGAAACGATCTCGGCCGACTTCGAGGAAGTTCCCAAAGGGACAGTTTTCTGACAGGTCAAAATCAAGTCGACTTGCCCTGCACCCTTGCATCTTTCTTTCGAGTTCCTCAAGTATGTACAAGTATATTCAGCTTCGACTATTGCAGTCTAGCTACCCTTGTCCGGCTCTAGGATCGGATTTAATTGGGCTAGTGCAGACTGACGATCACCTGCCCTCCGCTCTGAATGTGATGTCAACGGGCGCTTGAATCAAGGTGCTTTGCGTACGGTGTTGTTCCTAACCTTAGTCATTTCTCCTCCTCCGATACCTTGTTTCTTTGTATCTATTCCCTTCTTCAGCGTTGCCATATTTTCTCACTTTCCTCCACCAACAGAATTCAAAGCCCCGTTTAGACTTTCATCGGGATTGTTTTTGGTCGCTGTTTTCATTCCGTGGTGTTTCTTTTTCTTCTTTCCCTTCTTCGCCCAATCTTTTGTTCTGCGGCTCACCCCCAAACAGCGTCTGTATACTTGCACCTCTGCACCTGCGTCTCCTTTATTTCGCTTGTGGTCGTCTACAGTTTCATTGTTTGTTTGTACCTGGCACTCCATGGTGCTCCTGGCGAATTGCCCCTTGTTTGAAGCAACCTCTTTTCATGGTGCATTCATGTTAAGTGTCAAAGCTGCCAGCTCAAAAGCTGGCTTTTCTATCGTCGTTGCACAGAGAGAACACCGAAGGCTCCCAGAATACATTGTCTCAGGTCAGGGTTCGCTCTAAACGGGACGACTTCCTCTCTTGTTTTATCGCATTTATTTATCTGATCTCTCCCAGCCCTCCGACTGCATACTTCCATTAACCAGGAGGCCCCGTATTCTGGAAACAAGACTCGGGTGCTTTGTCTCTTGACTAGTTCTTTGCAGTTTCCAACCAACAACACATCTCTCACACCTCGTCACTACCCTCGTCACTACCTTCGTCACTTCCCTCGCCTCGTCACTCACTTAACGTCGTGTACACTCAGTCGTGGTGATCACTCTTTGCTCTCTGCCCAAAAGTATCTATCTATCTATATATATACTGCCCTACCATGGCACTATCATCTTCTCCCAGTGACTGTCTTGAGCAGCATCACAAATACGAGCGGTCAAGTGACGATACTTCAAAACCACCTTCGAGGTCTGCCAACGAGCCAAACTTAACCTCACACCGGTGGAAGAGGCTCTTGCCTGTTTGCCCATTCCGGTGGCCTCGTCCGCCACTTTGCTTTCCTTCAAAAGACGCCCAAAATCGATTGCCCGGTCCGCAACCTTGGCCATATACTTCTAGCAGCTCAACTCGTTCTTGGTCTAGACGACGACTATCACTTCGTGTTTCGGCGAAGCCAGGATCTGTGACATCACAAACTATAACTCTCCCGGCCAAAACCTCACCACTGCCAAACGTCACCATGGCACAAAAGGAGCGTACAGCGACACGGCTGTCCGGCTGGGACCAAGTTGCAATGAGAGGATACATGAGCGTCGCTCTATGCTTCCCGTTCGACAACACACAAACTGATGCGGCGATGAAGCATATCGCAGATAGCCTAGCCCGTGTTGCACTACACCGGCCTGACCTCGCCGGTACGCTTGAGGTGCGCGAGAATGGAAGTGTGTACCATATTTCTGGGCAGAACAGCACAATTCCGTTTTCGGTTGAGGATATTCCCAAAGAGTTTCCCTACGAATCCTACGATGAGCTTAAGTCTGCAGAGTTTCCTCCCGGCGCATTTGTTCATCCGCAGTTTTTACTTTTGTGTCAGTTGGCCGAAGGCCAGCCTGGCGTGCCCGTCTCAGTTGTAAAGGCATTCACAATTCGTGGTGGCCTCTTCCTGGTCGTCTACTTCTGCCATGCCTTTGCAGATGGGGACTGCAAACGCATTTTCCTTGAGATATTTTCTCAGCAGACACGCGGGCTTACATTTGAAGGACCGTCGACCAAGCATCTTAACGTCCCATTTGCCAATGAGTCCAATACCAATGACAAGGTTGGAAGCCGGCTTAACGAGCTTCTCCAAAAGGTGCCAGAGTACCAGATCCTCGACCAGCCAGTTGGTCCAACGACGCCAAATTTCAGACCCGGCGGCGTTCCCATGGCGGACATCACCAAGATCGGCAAGATATTTGTTTTTGACAATGCCCGTCTCAGCCAACTACGTTGCTCTGTGTTTGGAGCCGGCGAACCGGCCATAACCAGCCGAAATGGAATTAGCAGCACCAACGGGAGGTTGAGTGAGGAATCCAAGACAAGACCCAGCGGTCAATCTACCCCGGTGTTTAATCTTCCTTCTAACTACACCTGCCTCGCTGGTCTGACGTGGGCGCACATCTCGAAAGCCCGGCTGTGCGATGCCACACAGTACATGCCACATAGCCCAGAGATTGACCACACTGCCCTTCTACAGACAATGGTGAACTGGAAGAGCCGGGCGCTGCACGACCTCAACCCGACTTACTTTGGCAATGCCACGGCCATTGCCGTGACGCAGCTACCGACCAAGGACAGCATCCTCTCGCGTGCGTCAAGCAGCCCGTCCGACCTGGCCAAGCTCGTTTTCACGATCGAGAGGACGATTGCGGGCGTGGACAACGACTTTGTCTCTGACCGCACCGAGCTATTCAGCCGCGTCTCCGACCCGCGCTTTGTCGGTCTCCGATTTGACCCCCGGACGCCGCAGGACTTGGGCTTCAACACGTGGCGATTTTTTGGTGCGGACACAAAATGGAACATCCCGGGCATCAAGGGTGATTCCACTCCAGAGGTGATCCGAAGGCTGCAGGGGATGTGGAACATGAGCGGAGCTTTGATTCTTCCTGCCAAGGCCCTCTCGCCCACACACGAGCTCCTCGTCACCTTGCCGAAGACGTCGATGGACGTGCTGTGCAGCGACCCCGAGTGGATGAAATGGGTAGACCACGTGATTGGTTGAGTCGGGACATTGGACTTCAGATGTCGTGGGCAGATCGTTGTGTTTGGTTTTTTTATTTTTAACTTTTGTTTTGACTTGATTCGTTTGCCTGGTTTTACTACGTTGTTTTGGAAACATTTCTGATATTTGTGGCAATCTGTAAGGGGACATTATGGCGTGCGGTAGCTTACCAGCGGCTAAGGGATTACAATGACTATTTTACTTTGTCATTCGTTTTCATATAACTGAGCCAGCGCCAGGTGTTGGCAAATTATGGACTCGTCGATTTTCCTTGTCTCATTTACTCCGTTTCTGTTTAATTTGAGTGCGTTGCACCAGTCCGTATTCTTAGGAAGTCTGCCTTCTTTGGCACCCAACTTTTTGTCGAACAGCAATGTATCACTGCGTCATAAAAACGTGCGTCACGGGTTTTCCTATCACAAGCGCGGCACCTCGACCGTGTCTCTCACGCCACGCCAGTAATCTCACCTTCGATGGTTGTGTCACCGTCCATCGACTCACCCTTGTCTTGTGTAAATGCCCGGTCACCGTCGGTGGTGGTTTCATTTTCATTTTCATTCTCTTCTCTCTTGTCCGCCTTGATCCCTTTGGCTCTTTGATACTCGGCACGCATCAAGGCACGCCGGTCCTTGTCTGCATTGATGTTGACGCGCGACTTGCGGATGTTGTCGTACAGCTCTCGGGCGCCGATGCTGCCAAAGCCGCCAAAGTCGGACAGGGCAATGTCGCCGACGGTTGTGGCACGCAGCGCAAACACGATGCTACGGCGGCTCTCGCTGGGAGGCGTGTCGACTGTACTCCCACCAATCCTCGCTTCTGCCGCCGCGGCCGCTTCCTTTGGATCAACGACGACCCTGTGAATGGCCGACGGAATGCGGTTGCTGCTGAGGACGCGCAAGGTATCGCCTGTCATAACGGTGACCTGAGGCGCGTCGACCCAGTCAGGGGCAGGTGGAGGAGCAGATGGAGGAGCCAATGTCGGGCCGCCGTCCTCAGCCGACTGTGGTGGTGTCAATGGCCCTGGCGGCTGGGGCTTCACTTGCAGGCCCTTGCCCCAACACACACAGATAGTCAAAAGGCCCAGGTCGCGGTGCTGCTCCGCACCGCCGCCTCCCGGTTCGTAGCGGAACAAACGCAACAGAGTCGGGGGGTCATCGCGTGGGTGGTGTCTTTTTGGTGGACTGTCGCCGACAGGCTCATCGTCACCATCCTCGTCCACATTGCCTTTCCCCTTCCCTTCCCCCTCTCCTTTTCCGTCGCTGTGTTCGGCTTCGGCCGCAGCAATGACGGCATCGCTATAGTACACACCGTCGCCCGGCTCCAGACTGTCTGCCACCACGCCGTCCCAGGCCGTTGGGCCTAGCCCAAGGTACACGCCAATGTCGCCCAGAATGCGGTGCAGCAGGTGCGCCGTGTCGTGCCAAACAGGTGCGGCGGCATCGTAAATTCCCGGTGGCAGATGCGTCATGCTTTTGCGCAGGGTCAGGTACTCCTTTTCGCCGTCCAGGTGTGTGTAGCCGCGCTCGGTGTTCGTGGGGCTGGAGGGCGGGCCAAGGTGGCCGGGTGGTTTGTCGTTGGCCGGACGGTAGGGCAGCTTGGCTGCGAGAGGTTGGGCAAAGAAGGCATCGGAGGCGGCGAGCAGCTGTTCGTATTGCTGGGCGAGGGGGTGAGGCAGGTTGAGGCCGATGTAGCCGTGAGCGCAGAGATGGTGAAGGGACGCGGGCGGCAGCAACGGCGGCGGTCGTGGCGGCGGGGGTACAAAATCGTCCATTAGGGAGACTGAGGGGAGGGGAGGGGTTGGCAGGTGACAATGAGGCTACAATGGGAAGGCACAAATGGTGCATAAGCAAATTGAAAAAAAGAGGTTTAAACAAAGTCGTGATGCCCGCCTTTTTTTTGCAGCCCAAATACGAAACTGCCGCCTACGTCCAGTTTTCACTGTCAGCCTCGCGGATGGCGTTGCGTGACAAAAGCGTATTGGGGAGGGCTCCGAAAGCGCAGAGGGAGGCGAATTGGCTGACGACGTTAGTGTGCGGCTTAGCCCGTGGAGCTTTAGAACAGTGACGACAGTTCTGCCGTTAAAATGGCGTACGTTGAGGCCTAGCAAGTGCAAGTCATCGTAGGTGCCTTGGTTGATCTGTGCAACTCATGACAACCGACAAGGGGAATGGCGAATGCAAATAAGGTGGCTGCTGTTTTGAATTACTTTTAGGCTTGCGTTTACAATTTGCCGTGGTCTTTTGTACGTTATGTTGTTTACAAAGTTAAGTATCTTGTTCCGACATGTTTAAAAACATTTGTCGGTTGCCCGTTTCTTTTTTGATTTCTTTTTCCTGTATTTTTTTATTCGTTTCTTCGTAAATTGTAATAGTATTTTCTTTTTTTTACACCTTGTACTATTACTTATTAGTTATATTTTAAAAAAGACCCTACGTCACAGTCAATCCGGTTATGGAAACTCGAGTATCTTAGTTGAGGTAATTGAGGTAAATAGTCGAGGAGGCAGAGACAAAAAAATACAGTTTTGTAAGTTGTGTAACGTTCCGTCTAACAATGTTGACATCTTTTCCGAGCAATACAAACACAATTTCGGCGTAAATTCACTTGACGAGACCTTGACAAGCCCGGATACCTATGCGTCTCTTTTCAAGACGTTTTTGTTGCCTGCTTCCAGATCTGGAAAAGCTGATTTCAGAAACGCCATTATCGTATCCCATGCGGACTTTGATTGCAATTGAAAACGCGTAAAAGGTATATGGATGTGAAGGGTGGATGAATATGCGTAGAAGAAACGAAAATATTATTACATTATGCGAAATGCAGTCAGATGGAAGAAGAGGGATGGCAGTTAGTTCGACAGAGACATTGTCGTACAACGTATGACTTTGGTACAAGGCAACTTTTAAAGGTCAACTTAGAATCAAGAGTAATAAGCATCATGATTGCCTCTTTATTCTGCTTTGAAATAGTACTGCTACTCCGTCCTCCATCACAAGTGGCGACTTGTTCTCGGCCATGTTTCGTTCAACTGCGATCGACGACGGCGGCGCAGCCTTTCATGGTAATCATAACATACAGCGAAATGGAAGAGCATAAAAGATAATTGAAGCGAATGACATGGAAATGCGAGAAAACGCTAAGCAAGCAAAAACCCCATATATAAAAGGACGATTAACGTTGCCCGGTTGTAACGCCGAGACAGTTGATAGCAGGTATGCATGGTGCCTGGCAAACAAAGGAGAGAAGGGGTCGAGGTCGAGGTTTTGCGGCTCTTAAGGTTTGAGAACAGGGATTCTGAGGGAGCAATCAAACCCAGGCAAAAGTTTCTTTTTGCGCAGCGCTCATTGGCAGCGCTGAGGAAAAAGGTAAGAGGCTATTTTGGCGCTGTTGTGCTTATTTAGCGGCGCTCTGTATGGAGAAAAGGCCGCTATGTCAAACGTTCAGGGCTTTCAGGGGAGCAAGGGGCCACGGTTTGAAGTGTGTTGAGAAATATGTCTGTGGCGTTGCAGTGGCGCTAACCCTTTATTGGCAAACAGAGTGTAAGCCGAAAAGCTTGGCTTAGAGCTTGTGTGAGTGGTGGAACGACATGTCCTAGGACGTATCGATCGCTCTTTCCACGTCGTATGTCGTTAGCACGGGACGGAGTAGCATGGCAGGAACGACCGAAACACAAGAAACACAAAGATTCAAAAGTAGCAGACAGAAGACAGACGCAGAAACCAACAAAACATCCAGTTACAACCAGAAACAAACATTCGTCGTCTGAACGTAGACCACGCAACTGCGCCTTTCTCATGTTTCTTGTCAATGCTGAACACACAGTCTGCGTGTCATCTGGACTACGGAGTGCACTGACACGCAATAGACGCGTTCACGTCTGTTATCCTTCGCTTGCCATGTTTTGTTTTCCAAATACCTCTTGTCGGGACGATGTCTCGATATTATCCCGCCTTGACTAACGTCTAGTCAAACTCTGGTCTGACCGGAGAGCCTCTGCTTCTCTCAGCTCCGTCTCCAGTTGCCGCCTGTCTCATCTTGTATCGACAAGTACTACTTTTTTCTGATATCCCAGCCTCAATGGCTGCATCAAAAACCCTTTTCAGACAGAGTGAAGCCGCCAATTATTGCATCCGGTCTCTCCTCAATAGGAAGGTGACTGGGCAAACCGTTGTGATTTGCCAGGGGACCTTGGGGGCTTGCTGTGGACCATGTGCATGACTCGGCACTACATGGACATGGAAAACGGACAGAAACGTCAGGAAACATGGATCTGGAATGGCCAAGAACGCGTTCGGAGCTACAAGAAACGCACTCACCAGGAGTGCGTATGCCGAGACCGTTATAGGCATGTTCTCTATTTCTTCTTTTTTCATTCCATTGCAAGTTTCCCGACTTCTTTCTCAAACTCCCCCCTCCCAAACTCCCCTTCTCCTGTTTCTGTTTCCCCTTCTCTCACGCCATGCTCTTTTGGTCACCTCCTCCATTGTATCCGCCTTCACCATCCATCTTCGCCTCCGACAACCCCTGCTCTTGAATCCCCCGTGCCACTTGTTACATTCTGTCACCGCACAGACTGCTGCTCAATGTTGCAGCCGAGAGGTTTCCCACTCATGTACGGAGCTGTCCCAACTTGGAATGTCGTCCTTGGACTGTCGTCCGACGCTCTCCTACCTCACCTGAACCCTGGTTGCTCAGCCTCCCCATGATCTGAGGGTGATCTTCAGGATAATGATGTGCCGCCAGGGGTAGGGTAGGCTGCGGAGAGGCAAAGTAGAGGAGCAGAAGGGCAACCATGTTGTAATTGCATGGACGGATGTGCAGATGATTGTGGCGATGACCGCGGACGGCAAGAGTGGTTTCCCTTTCGAGATGAACCAGCATCGATGTTTGATATAAAGGTTGCAATGATCCTCTCCTTCCATCGATCTATTGTTTCTGTTTCTCGCCTCTCTTTGTCGACTCTTTCAGCATCAACAGATTTCTCAGTTTTCGATTCTTTCTTTCTTTTCTTTTCTCTTTCACTTCTTAACTTCATTTCTCGACTTCACTTCTTCACTACTTTTGTTTCAAAACAATATTGGCCTGGTGTCATTTTATACAGAATTTTCATGAACCTCTTTTAACACTCATTTTATATCACCTATTTTTTTTTTATTTTTACTTTCTACGACACAGACCGGTCTCAAGCTTTCCACAAGCCATTTCTCGATCCTCTTTTCTCCAATTTCTTCTTTCGTCATCCAACAATGGCACGTTCCTTTGTTGCTCTCGTGGCTTGTATGGGATTCGCCCTTATCCTCACGTATTTACCCAGCATTTCGTCAACTACTAACACAAAATAGTTGCTGCCATTGCCATCGCTGCTCCCAGTCCCATCACCCCTGATCCAAACGGCGCGAACAAAGTAGGTAATGGTCAGGGTCTGCAGTTCATCACCGGCGGCTGCCTGAGCACCGCCGACTGTAGCCAAGCTGTCGTCCAGTCCTGCTGTGCCTTTATTGCCGGCGGGTCTTCCACTGGTATCTGCTCTGGCATCGATGTCGGTAATGTCAATGGCAAGGCCGGCTGCGGTTTTGGCGATGGCGGCAGCTCGACCGACTCTTCTGCGCCTGCCGCTTCCTCACCCCCGGCCGCCGCCGTGACTTCCTCCACTACCAACAGTTCCGGCTCTTCTGCTCAGTGCGCCGTCGACACCAGTCTCGCCGGAAGCCAGAATGTTGGCACTGGCTCTGGCACGCAGTTTATTACTGGTCAGTGCCTCAGTGCCGCTGACTGTGCGTCCGGCTGCTGTGTTGCCCAGGCCAGCGGCCCTGCCCTCTGCAAGGCCCAACTTGTCACTGAGCAGGCCGGTTTGACTTGCGACTTCTCCTGCTCCGGCTCGACCAGCTCAGCCACCTCTTCGTCATCCGATACAGCTGTCTCGCAGCCTGCCACCAATGTTGCGGCTACGGCTTCTGGTGGCTCATCAACGGGCTCATGCCCCGCCATAGATACCACTCTGGCCGGCAGCCAGAACGTCGGAACAGGCTCCGGCACCCAATTTATCACGGGTCAGTGCTTCACGGCGGCCGACTGCGCGTCGGGCTGCTGCGTGCTGCAGTCGGACGGTATCTCTCTGTGCAAGGCTGAGCTGGTGACGACCCAGGCAGGTCTGACCTGTGACTCTAGCTGCACTGGTGGTGCTGCGTCTTCCGCTTCGTCCTCGTCCTCATCTGCTTCGACTTCTCCCAACAGCAACAATGGCTCGTCGACTGGTTCGGCTGTGACAGGTGCGGCCGGATCTGCACAGTGCACCGTCAATACCAGCCTGGCGGGCAGCCAAAATGTCGGAAAGGGCTCCGGCCAGCAGTTCATCACTGGCCAGTGCTTCAGTTCGGCTGATTGTGCATCGGGCTGCTGCGTGCAGCAGGCTAGCGGAACGGCGCTGTGCAAGGCCCAGCTGGTGACGACCCAGGCCGGCCTCAGCTGCGACTTTACTTGCGCTGCTTAAGGGCACACTTCCTCTTGTGGTGCATCTGGAGCGGGCTCGTTCGCTTGAATAACCTCTCCATGTACATTTGACCGACAGCCATTTCGTTGTCCTTCATCTTCGTCTGTACGGCTTACTTTATCTTTCTACACACACTTTTTTGTTGCATACGTCCAGTTGCTGAGCTACTGCTGACGGGAGGCTCTTGTACTTTATACCTCTTTTTTCGTTTTGTATCATTGGGTCTCTGCATTGATTCGCGGATATTCTCTTTAGGAGACGGTGCATTCAGGAACATTACACAATATGACATGGTTTGCTTTTATATGTGATACATCTTATTAACGTGCCGCGATTGTGATCTGAACTGGCGATATTTCTCGCAGAGTCACTTTCCACCACTCTGAGAATGTACAGTTACTTTACTCGGCTGCTGTTCTAGACTGACAGTGTAATTGACTTCAGTCTTCGATGTGGCTTCGATTTAGCTTCGAGTCCAGACAATGGCTTTTGCTGCAAGAGGGTCATGCTCTCTCTCTGGCCTGGAATCGGGGACAGCCATCCTGTGGCTGCATAGAGCCTCGACTCCCCGCAGCCAAACAAACAAGGTCCAGGCATGCAGTGAGAAGAGATGGCCACAGTTCTCGGTTTCCCCAGCGTCTCAACTCAGCAAGATGACTTGAGTCATTGGAATAACCGAGAATTGGAACCACGTAAAAAAAATTGTTCGCTTGTTTCGCTATTGAAACAGTAATGAGAGCCTGTCAAAAAGGTTAGCCAGCATTTCCGTAAATAAAGAGTCTTCTCACATTCCCGTCCAAATTCACGGTTGTCATCCTGGCTGCCAGTGACGAGCAGAGCGGGGCGAGGGAGAGGGAACAAAGGAAAAGAACAAAAAAAAGAATTCTGATTTTTTTTGTTCTTGGCCAAATGCCAAACGAAGGGTCGAGGACAGCATCCGGCTGTGTCATCCGTCTTTCGTGGAAAATATGGTGTACGCATGTCAGACACTGTCCTCTCCCGTGGTAACATAACAAGAGACCCGTGTCGTCTCGCCCACAGAAAGGGCATGGGGGGTGGAACAAGTGAAGTATGGGAGAAATCACAGAGAAACGTGAATGCAGTGAAATGGAAAAGATCCCCCCCAGTCATGCCATGCAAAGGGTATCGTCATGCAATGATCACCAACCTCCCAAAATCCGCCTTCCATCACGGGTGTAGTAAAATCAAAAACGAAAGAAGGAAAGCAAATGAGCGTAAACAACCGGAACGCCAGGTACTCAGAACCACATTGATCGTGGTTTCGAGAAACCACTGCAAAATGCATCCCTTGGAACGCCGGTCGTGCAGAAGCCACAAGGCGCTTCGTAACGAGAAAGAAACGAAAGAAACAAAAGGAAGCATATCATGCCTAATCACTCGGCTCGTGGTTGTACTGGCGGGTGTACAACTCGCGGAGGTATTCGCGCTGGGCACGGTATGTCGAGTAGTCGCCCTCAAGCACGACACTCAGGATGCTCTGGCCGGCGCGGGCATCGGCGGGGAGCTTGGCCAGATCCATCATGCGCTTCTGCAGCGAGTCAAAGGCGTCGGAGAAAGCGCGCATGATGGCCGAGGTATTCTTGGAACCGCCCGAGATGTCGTTTTCTGGGTTGTTGGGGTCGATGATGGACAGGCGGTCGGGGTTCTTGTACACGAAATGGCGAACCTTGGACTGGAGGAAGGGGGAGGAGGATTAGCAAAATGTGCACCAGGGAGGAAAGGTTCAGTGAAGGCTAACCTTTGCAACGTAGCCAGGAGGATTCATGGATATGGCTGTGGCTTCGTAGTTGAACTTGTTGCCGTAAAGGTCGAAAAAGTGCATCAGAAGGTCACCAAGGTGGTTCTGGCCCACCATGTCCTTGGTCTGCATTGGTGGCATGAGCTGCAGCATGCTGACGACCAGGCAGATGACCGAGAACCCGCCGATGCCGCCATTGACAGGCTCGTTGAGGCCGCGCATTGTCAAAAACTGCTTGATCATGGTGACCAGGATCGGCATCTCAGGGAACTGCTCCTTCCACTTCAAAAAGGTCTTGTTGGCCACGACACCGTTCATGTTCTCGAAGGACACGTCCACTTTCAAGCCCGTCTTGAGGTCAATGTACTTGACCAGCGGCACCTTAGCCTTAGTGATGTGCTCGAGGTGCTCGCGCTCGGCCATGTTGCTCCCACACAGGAACGCACCAAACTTGAAGAGATGGTTCTTCTTGCTAAAGACAGCCGCGCGATTATTGAGAAACTGCGTCGAGCACATGACAATATCCATGTCGCCCGTCGGCAGGTAGAGCCCGGACATGAAGCTACCGAAGCAATGGATGCGGCCGTTAGGGAAGCGCTTGCGCACCATGGCATCCAGGTCGTCCAGCAGCGCCTGGCGGAGCGTCTGCTCAAAGGTGCGCGGCCTGATGTATGCATAAAAGTCGAAAATCTCCTTGTGCAACCACACGCCCATATGGCTCGTATCGGCGGCGTGGTCCTCGAGCAGCCAGGGGCAGGCGGTTTCGCCTGCCTTGACCTGCCACATGGGCAGTATGTAGCCACCGACAGGCATCTTGGTGGTCTTTTTCAGGATGGCATGGTCCGGCAGCAGCAGCGGCTTGAGCTGGTCGTCGTGGGTGCGCTTGCGGTTGGTACGGAGCTCGGTCGACAGTGAGGAGGGGGTAGGCACGGAAGAGGATGCAGATGTTATGCCGTTCTTATTTTGTTTTGTAGCAGCACGAGGGCCCTTGGGTGCGTCGACTGGCGGTGCAATGTTGTTTGTTTGGCTGTCGTTTGTAGCAGAAGAAGCAGCAGCAGCAGCAGACGCGTCGCGCTCGCCCGCTTTTGTCATTTTGCCGTTCCTTCCTATTCTGTCGACACCAATGATGTTCGTGTCCGCGTCACCATTGTTTTCATCCGCAGCCGACTCTTCCGCCGCCTCGCCCTCTTCTTCGCTGCTGCTGTCAAAGCCGCACGAGATGAACTCTTCCGTGTCGCCTGACGTGGCGGCTGCCGCCTTTTCGCCCTGCACACGAGCCTTGCGGATCAGCTGCACGACGTCCTTCTTGCGCACGCCTGCTTCAGTTGGCGGCAAAACAGTGTAAGGATCTGGGTTCGACCACTTGGGCACCTCGTCGCCGTCTTTAGCACCCAGACGAGCGCGCTTCCGCGGCGGGGCCGACATGCCGTCCTCGTCGCCCGAAATGTCCATCTCGGCCTCGTCGCTGTCCGACAATTCATCCAGGTTCAGGTACGTAGTGCCCGCGTTGCTGTCTTTGACAAAATCCTGAACGATGCCGCCGGTCGAGATGTCGCTCTGGTTGAGGATGGGCCGGTTGGCAGCCAGGAAGCGCAGGTCCGCAAAGTTCGTGTTGTACCCGCCGCCCCGGCCACCGTGCCGGCGGCTGTTGGCGTTGTGGCTCTCGCGTCCACCGCCACGCCGTCCACCGCCGCCGTATTGTTGTGACCTGGGTCCGTTATGTGCGCCTCTGCGATCTCCATCCCGGTCACGGTCACGGAAGTCGCGTCCACTGTGGTCCCTCCTTGACGAATCGCGAGGGATGTAGCGGTCGCCGCCCATCAGCTGCGCCTCGTGGACACCGGCCGGCTTATCGGCACGAAACGTAAAGTCGCCCCGCGGGACATGGCTGTCGCCACCACCGCTGCCTCCAGCACCAAACTGGTGTGCGGGCGGTGGCCGGGCCGGCAGGCTGCTGTTGGCATTGCTGCTCCGGTCGCCGTGGTCGCGGTTGCGTCCATGACGGTTGCGTCCGCCGCGCCCACCGCCACGCCCGCCGCTACCGCTGGGACCATTGGGGGGAGGACGGAAGTCGAGTTGTGGTGGCGGCGGCAATGAGGACCTTTGCCCACCACCAATGCCGGGCGGCGGAGGATAGTAGTTGGACATGAAGGTCGAGGAAACGATCGCTGAATGCAGTGTATAATGGTCCGTCCACTCGAGTACGATGTCGTGTGGATGTTTGTTCGCGAGCGTGTCGACAATGGCGTTATGGGTCGTGGGTGCGAAAGTCAATCAGTGCGACGTACATCGTACGAATGTACAGAATGCGAAAAAATGGGTGGCTGATAAGATCATCGAAGGAGCGTAAAATTTCCCACGTCTTTTGCCGAGTTTAGAACGCAAAAAGTGCAGGGGCGAGTGGGCCGTGTTCCGTTTCGAGGGCGCACGCTAGTCCTGTTTAGGTCACGAGTGTTTGTATTAGTCATCTGCCACTTTTGCATGAGTTTGAAGTTGAGCGAGATCTTTGGCGGGTCACCAAAAATCAAGTAAAGCGCTTGCAAGAATGCAAACATAGGACGAAGGCCCCCCAGAAATAATAAAAATTACATTTTAAAATAATAATCTATGGAACAATGGCTCGTACAGACAATACTAAAACACGCTGCTCCTTACAGATTATTTTTGGGTGACGCGAAAAAAAACTGGGGGTGAGTATAGGGTATAGCGAGCTTCTTCTCTATTATCCATCATTTGGTTAATATTCTTTCTCCGATTGCATTTTCCTGTGCAGGTTTTTGGGTTTTTGATAAAATGACGAGCGCAATTTTTTTCCTGTTCTGGGAATGAGACATACCAAGCACAAGAGACTGAAGATAGCTGAAAGAGAAGAGCAGAGCGGCATACAGAAAATGATATCAAATGCATGGCTGTGAAGTGAAACGAATGTGGACAACTGGGTCAGGTCTCATGATCATCGACGTTACTACAAGTACTTCAGCCAGTTTGTGCCTCTTTCTCTGTTCTTGTCTCGTGTCAAGTGTGTGTGCCTTGGTAAAAAAGATGTAATGTCTTCGTCCCCGTTTTTGGCGAGTTGTGGTATAATATATACGTAAAAATAAAATAAAATAAAAAACAGGAAAAAAAAAAAAAGGTATAGCCGTCACTTTCTATGTCGTCGACCCAAAAAGCAAACAAACGCAAACACAAGTGCGGACAAAATATCAAACAGAGAAATGATAGCAACAAATTAAGAGGAAAATGGTGTTCCTCTTTAAGAGAGAAAACAGGCATCGGCCGAGATTCGGGGGTTCTTCGAGTCGTGACGCTTAGACCGGCGGAGCGGTCTCCTTGCCCTCGTGGACGCTGGCGGGCGTGCTGGGCACGAACTCGCCATTGATGTGCTCAGAGGGCGTGCGGGCCAGCTCAACATAGTCGTAAGCAAACTCGCCGAGTTGGGCGTCGTCGAGGCCGAGCTCCTCCTCCTCGGCCGTGACGCGCAGACTCAAGCCGGGCACGAGGTTCATGAGGAAGAGAATGATGCAGGTCATGCCGAATGAGTACGCGAAGCCGGAAACGCAGTCGGCCAGCTGGTAGCCGAGTTGGATCCAGTTGTGGTTGAGCCAGCCACCAGGGATCACGGTGAAGCCATCGAGGTGAGCAATGTAGTCACTGAGCTGTTAGTAGGAGTAGAGGTGTGCGGCAAGATGTGTGTGACAAGACGTGTTTGGTGGCAAGAGGGAGGACTTACGCAGCAAAAAAGGCCGTCAAGATGTTACCGGCCATACCGCCGACGGCGTGCTCAGCAAAGATATCGAGACCATCATCGATGCCGAGGAAGAACTTGAGCTTGGTGGCAAAGTTGCATACAATGGCTCCGACAACACCGTAGATGACAGCCGACCACGCAGGGACGAAGCCAGAGGCAGGGGTGATGGCAACGAGGCCGGCAATGGCGCCAGAGCAGAAACCGACAGTCGACCACTTCTTCTCCAGGCGGTAATCCAGGAGGCACCAAGTAATGCCGGCAACGGATGCAGCCAGATTCGTGACGACACAGGCCATGACAGCGCGCATGTTGGCGCCCAGAGCCGAGCCACCGTTGAAGCCGAACCAGCCGACCCAGAGGAAGACGGTGCCGAGGACGACATGGGTGACGTTGTGGGGGCGGTACGGCAGGCCCTGGTTCTTGTCGTAGCCGGTGCGCTTGCCGAGCATCAGCGAGTAGGCGAGGGCAGCTGCACCCGACGAGATATGGACGGGCGTGCCACCGGCGAAGTCGAGACCGCCGAGCTTGAACGTCCAGCCGTTGGCGTTCCAGGTCCAGTAGGCAATGGGGTCGTAGACGATGGTGGCCCAGACGAAAATAAAGACAATGCAGGGCAGCATGCGACCGCGGTCGGCGGCAGCACCAATCGCGAGGGCGGGACTAAAGAGGGATGTTAGTGACAATGTGTGTGAAAAAGAGAGAGAGACCATGGAAAGTTGATTCGAATCAAAAAGACACTCACGTAATGGCCGCGAACATGCCCTGGTACAAACAGAAGAGGAGGTCCGGGATCTTAGTGCTGCCGACCGACGGTTGGCCAAGCGTCTTCATCAGACCAAAGTTGGACAGGTCTCCAATGAAGGAGCTGCCAGTGTGCGAGAAGGTGAGGGAATATCCCCAAAAGAACCATTGAAAACTGACGACCGCTATACTCATCATTGACAGCCAGATGAGTGACAGCGCAGACTTGCGGCGGGCGAGGCCGGAGTAGAAGAATCCGACACCGGGAATCATCAGCAGCACCAGGGCGGCCGAGGTCATGATCCAGGCAAAGTCGCCCGAGGAATAGTAGACGTTGAGGTCGGAGGTCAGCGAGTCACCGCCGTTGTCGGCGACACCAATGGTGCCATTGTACACCTCGAGGGGTCCGGCAGACATGTTGGGCGGTGGTGATTGCGAATTGGCGACGGATTGTCAGATTTGTGTTGTCGAGAGAAAGAGGTGTAAGAAAAGGGAAGGGTAGAATAAAAAATTAAGGAAAGTCGTGATGAGAACCCGTTCAAGAACCGCTGTCCATTGACACAAAAGGACAACCAGGTTTTAGGTTTGATGATGATCTTCCGACGAAAGGAAGAAAGAATAGAAGGATGTCTGGAGAGACCGAAAAGAAGGGGGGTGAGGAATAGAAATAGATAAAACGGGATGGACGGTGGTGATGAGCAGGGGACAACTAAACAATATATATCTGTGAGATGATGAGAGACAGGCAAAAACTGGGGGGATGAGAGACACACCCCAGACATGCAGCCGACAAGACATCGACCGGGCTACGGAGACGCCATGGCAAGAGACAAGAGACCAAAGGCACGCGTCCGCACACCGTGCTCCATACCCTCCCACCACCCATACGACGCAGAACGGGGCTGCAAAGAACAGACGGCATCTAGCGACAAGATTGTCGGGTCTTAGCTTGGTAGACTGCTTCCTATTTTTTTCGCGTGTTAGGGACTTGAGCTTTAGCACCTTTTGGTCCTTATTTCTTACCAGATAATACATATCCATATCGGCGTGCAGCCCTTGGACGATGTGTATTTCTTTCTACAAAGGGAATCCTGATTGCGAGACAAGAACACAAGGAGTCCCCACAAGGCGCACTAACACGGGTGAGCCCCCCCCCCCCCCGTTTGCTTCGGGCAGGGGTGGTTTAAGTGTGGTGCATGTGCCAAGCCGCCAAAGTCCAGCCCCAAGTGGGACACAAAAGATAAGGAAGACGGAAGGCGAATGGGACAGCGCGGATTCGGAGGACAACCTTTTCGAGATGTCGACGGGTACCAGTATATTGTAATTATTCGTTTTGCTAAACAGAGTAAATTGTCAGCCAGTTCATGTGAAGCTGGCATGGGTCCAAGTTTCTTTGTCTTTAAACGCGATGGCTTGGATACTGATGCAGATAGCGAATGAGGGTCTTTTTGGGGCGAGGATTCGTTTTGTCTACTTGACTCCGCGTCTCGGGATGGTGATGTTGTGTGGTAGTCGTGGTCGTCAAGCGGGCGTGCATCTTCACACAGTTCGATGTAGGTAGTGGCGGTGACGTATCTCTCTGTCTGTGCCCTTATGGAATACGATCGCCTGTGTCTTGCCACACATCTGTTCTTGGGGATTCTTTTCTTAGTTTGCGTTGCGCATGTGTTACGTTCTTGCATCCCTGAGGATTACCTGCAGTAATTGGCCTCCGATCCATCTGGTACACGATTAATATGCGCAGGGTTTTCCAGAGCCAATGCTAAGGCCAGCATGCCGTAAGGGAGTCATCTGTACGAATGATGTCCTAGGGATGTAAGACTCTGCGGTATTACCGTTTGAACCGCTGGTGCTGTCAGCCTGTGCACTTGGAAAAGTGCACATGGAAAGGCTACGGCCACAACAGCCAGCCACGACCTCGTCCCCGGAGTGCCCTTGGGGACCCGTGGGGGTTCCTGTTTTAGAACGGTTTGTGCATACGTGCATGCGCAGTGACTGTCCATGTTGTTTTCCTCGTCATCACATTCGCTCCATGTCCAGGATGGAGAGCCTGCATTATGTGGCGTCGCTCTTACCGACGGGCGCGAACGAAGGAACCCCGAGTCCATCGAAAGAAACGAAGACCAATAAACTCGTCCCCTACAGTCTTTCTCAGTCAGTGCCCGCTGCGGAACCAAGCGTACCAAAGACGACAATCAATATCCACACGAACCATTTGCTTCCTAAACAGGAACAACCTCAATCACGAGTGTGAGTGGGTGGCCTGCGTTCAGCGCGCGGGATGACAAGTCAATGCGGGTTGGGGTTGTGCGACAGACAAGGACCGAGCTGGAAGTCCTATTACTTGAGGCGTGTAATTGTTTTACGCAAATCCATTTTCCCGGCCTAGTAACGGGCATTTCTTCCTGTCGGCTCTCATATCGCCAGTCTCGAGCTGTGTTTCCTTATCTCTTTATTTCTGTCTTTCCTGAGGGCGTCATGGGCCAAGCCCAGAGACCAAATGCCAAGACGGACAGCTAAAAGACAAGGCAGAGTGGACACCTCTTTTGCACCCTCCCGACTGTGCAACATGATACCCTGTGAGTGCCCTGTGTAAAAAGCTGGGCAAGTCGGAGCGATGTTTTCGTGCTGGTTCTAAAAACATGCGTCCTGCAAGCGGTCCGTCCTGTGCAGAATACCTGTACCTGACAGGGGTGATCAGCTGTGTGCTCGAATGTCGTTCGTAGTGGTAGGCCCATCGCGATACATGGTTTGGGGTGCCTGATAGGTTCCCATCGTCGCTGTTTGTAAGAGAAATACTTTGATAAGCGAAAATACCTGTTGTCCAGAGTTTCGAAGTCCAGGTGAGCTTCAGGCAACCTGCCGGTCCTGTAGCGCCAATAGTTTATTCGTAGGCTGGCTCTTGCCTTACAAAGAACGAGTCTCGCAGATGGAGACTTCTCATTGGCTAGAAACACCCTTCCACTTTCCCTTATCTCAAGCTGTGGGTCCATGTTGACAAGGGTATGCCACTTTCGGACAAGCACTTGCCTGAACAGAGGAGCAACAGAAACTAAACAAGCAGAACTTGAAGGCAATCCCAAAAGAACGCATCGACAATCGAAACGATGTTATACCTCCATGCCAGTGCAAAGTTGACCACCACGGATCGGAGACAACGAAGTGACAAGAAAGAGAAATGGCCCTGCCGCCGGCTCCACGAGTACGTCGTACCTCCGACAAAATTTATTCTGTCTGGGCGGCTGCCAGTTGTAAGGCGCAAGCCGGAAGAAATAAAACAAACAAAGGCGTACGTCACTGTACTATCAACATTTCCAGGACGTCTCGCCCTTTTCTTTCCTCGAGAGAGTTCTCGCTTCATTTCATTATTGCGCGCTGCCGCCCTGTAAATCAGTCCCCGTCGATGATCTGCCCATCCGTCGCTCAGTATCCCAAAGCGCTCAAAACAGGCCGCAGCCATGCAGTGTCCATCACAACATCGCATGGTAATTACGACGGGTCATCGCGCGTCGGCCGTTGACATGGCCCATCGTTTATGTCACGTCAGCCTTGCCTAGATTCAGGTACAGGAGGCAAACCGGCGGACGATACCGGAGCACTGCAAAGTAATCGTGCAGGCGGATGCTGTGCATGTCGATTCGAAGGCATTCTTGTCTCTTGCTCTTGTGCTGCATGCATCTATCTATCTTATCGAGAATAAGCGAGGCGCTTTACCTCACAGTCGTGTATAATGCAAATTGCGACGTCAAGGCACACACTCTCTCAACAAGCGATGGGCAGACGAAGACGAATGGCGGCAAAACAGGCGAGATTGCCTACTTCCCTTTCTTTCCCTCTTGGTCCATTCCTAGTTGGTTGATGGGCTTATCGTAGCCATCAGGTTCTTTTTTTGCTTGTGGCTGGCAATTTGTCGTCCCTTATCTCTGTCTCTCTAATTGTCGCGCGTAATTTTTATTGCGACCTTATCAGCAACCAAAACGAAACTAACCAGACAGCGAAAGATAGCAATTGCATCTTGGCCCCAGTTTTCCCTTCTAGAAGGCTTCCAACACAGAAAATCTGCTGGAATAAGTGGGGCCTCGCCTACATCGACCTCATACTGTCGACATTCGTGTCTTCGATCGTCCCGGTGGCTGTTTTACACGACACCATGCAGCAGGGCAAGGGAGACAAACATAGGACGCATATTCCACTTCTTTTCTTTTCCTTGACATGCAAGCCTTCCGCCTGCAGCACAGGCTAGCCAACGTGGCCGCCCTGCATCGTCCATTCCGCTTTCACAATATGCAGAGTCATACCAGACTTAGTATTGATACAAACCGAGTGCTCGAATCAAAATTACTGTGGGATGGCTTCATAAGCTCGATGCCTGTATCAGACTCTCAACGACCACCGGCTTGTCAACCACAACCAGAGACCAAGACGTACAGTGGCAGAGGTTAACGGGCTGGAGCTCCTTGTCCATCTAAGCACCGTATTTTATGAGACCGATATTGTTTAAGCTGTCCCCGTGTCGAGCGGGATACGGGTACCTTTAAAGCTCACAAGCTGTCGCTAGCCATGGTAACATACCCTGTCTACCCGCTGCTGCTAGCATTGGCTCCCTGCCCTCGAGTAGTTTATCGACGATCTCCCAAATCCCGTTGTCCCTGCTACAACCCCATCTAAAAATGTCGTGTGCACATTTGCACCTGTGTGCTCAGTCTTCTGCTCCGTCTTACTCGAGGTGAAGTAATGGTCACATCGAGCCCCGTTCTCTTCCCTGTCCGCTCTTCTGATGAGATATTTCCCCTAATAACATCCCCTCTTTTTCGGGATCGCCGTCCAAATTAACTCTATCAGGCCGCCAAACCCTCTGGGCTTTGGTAGGTCCACCCTGTCTGTTCTCTGCAGATTGACCTGTCACCTTCTGTGCACACCATCAATGTCTTACTTCACCCTCGTCCAGCGCTTTTCCCTCAGTCCATCTTTTCCTCTTTTCCTCCTTTCCTCCCAATGCAGGGCCTGTCAGCCTCGGTATTACCCGAAACGTTATGCATCAACCCCTTTTTCCTCGCCATCCGGCTCCTGCAGATGGTTTGGTCTGAAATGGCATAATGAGGTTGTTGTTTGTACAAGGGACAATACCCATCTTCACCTTTAGCACTCGTTGTAGCACTTGTCCTCCCCTTTCAAACATAATTCTGTTCTTCTGCTGCAAAGCACGATCTTCTTCCCGCTATACAAAGTACACGACGTCAATGCAAGCCACATCTGACATTTGCCAGTTATATTTTCCACAAGCCCAGTTGCCTGTCTCCAAGTATGCTTTCTTATCCGTTCGTATCATTGAAGCTAATCGTCCGTGAGGAAACCCCATTTTGTTTCAGCACGTGCCTCCTCTTCTGTGTTTTGTACACAGCCATTTCATCATGCCAAGGTTTTGAATCTCATTTCGCCAGAGATAATTAGCTTCTTTGGACCCTCGTCTCCTCTTTTGGCCCTTTTTTCAAAATTTCAGCTGGGCCCGTGTGGTTGCGGCTGTCATCTCGGGCCACCCATCGTTCAAGATAAGTAGCTGGAGAAGCTAGTCCGTGTTGTATTTGCACGTACTGGTGGGATGTGGACTCGGGAATGACCGAGACTCGAGTCGAAGAACAAAAAGGTGCCAATATTTTGCATATTGTATCCTAAAAGTGAATTGTGCTGTGAAACGGAATGCATTACGACCTACATACTGAACGAGTCACAACCCGTAGGTAACCCACAACAACAATTCAAGTTCGACCGATGGTCTCGCGTCAATGTCAGTCCTTCTAAAGAGTACAATTCAAAGACCATTCCGGTCGACCTCGCTGCTTCCGCGATCTTCGTTTATTTCAATAGATGATGGCCTCCTCGACAAAACAGTCTAACCATGAGATGTAAGAAGCAGCTAGGTCATCTCTTACCTCCGAAGCTGCCGACTGTCGTTTGTTGTTCGAACGAACTGATAGATGGCCATCATCAAACCATTTACGAAGATAAAGTGATATAAACCAGGATATCAAAAAACAAACCGGTACGACGGCATCATTGCTTTTTGCCAGTTCAGCTCCTGGTCAAAACGCCATTTTTCGCCTCGCCTTCCTCTTTACCGTCAACATCCTCTTCCGTCCTCGGGGTACTGTCCAACGCGGCATCCGGTGTCAACAGGATCTGCCGCAAATAGCACGACACCGACCTTCCCCAGCCCATGAGCACCTTGAGCTGGTTTGCAAGGTAGGACAGCCGCCGGGCGTGAGAGGTCGTTGATGAAGCGCGAAGGTTAGCCGGCGGCTTGTTGTTTGCATCGGGATGCAGGTCTATCTTTTTTCTTGTGGATTTGGCGGTTCTGGAGAGTTCGGGATAGCAACTCTGCTTTCATGGCCACTTTTCGACTTCACTTTGGAAGTGATGCGCGTTATAGAATGGCACACGCTATCATTGATCGTATTCTTCGAACAGTTGAAGAAATGTGGTGATGTTTGAAGATTGTCAGCCGCCGACACACGCAATCATGGAGATATTAGAACCGAGCAAATTCACCCATTATAATTTTTTTTTTAAAAAAAAAAAACAAATCGTTAATTGAAGTAATGCATAGTCACATACTTCAGTGTAACAAACACAACGTACCGAACTGCGATATAAATTGCCGACCGTCTGTGTACCAGTTTGGCTTCAAACAGTACCTCAATCACTAACAATAATCCTGTTTTCCGTTAAGCATGACTATTTTGTTGTTGAAGAATTCACAGAGTGATATATTAAGTCTGGCATTTATTAGTCTTAAGTTGTCAGCCAAAAAGGGGACTGCACAACAAACCAAACTAAGGGCATCAAGGCCAACAGACAAGCTTGCGTCTGGGTAAAAATGATACAAGCCGTTTTCAAGTGTAGAAACTGTAAATGAAATTCGCGCGACATAGGACTGTCTCCATTTCTTAGAACAAGAGATGCCATTGAACGTCTCATTTTCCTGTATAAACAACGATTTCAAAAGGGCTGCGATATGGCGGGCTTTGTTCACAGAACAAAGGTTCATTGTGCCACTCCTTTTCTCCCTTTTCTCTTTTATCCTTCTCTCGGTTGTAGTCCTCATTGTTCACTTGTTCTTTGATTTCAATCCAGCATTCTAAATTTACGCCTGGTGATGAGGACAACTAAACAACAAAGAAGCTGCATATTAACATATATGCACGAGAAGGCCCCTATTCCCCAAGTTTATTTAAACAACGTGAGTGAAGCAACAGTAAACAGAAATCTAGAAAAAAAAAAAAAAGGAAACAAAAGACTCTATCCACGCACCGAATCAAGGGTAAGAAGAGTCACTTTTCAGTAGAAACATAATCCTTACTACGCTACAACAATACATCATACGACCGACATAATGGCCCAAGGTAGGTCGCCGTTTCTCGTCGCCAACATTGACAAAGGCAAGATTGGAGAGCTGAAGGCTGTGCCCCGATTTCCGGGCGCCGCTCTGTGCTGGAAGCTAATATGCGCCACGAAGATGGACAAGACGCGCGCCGACATTGCGCGATGGTCCTTTTATTTCGCGTCGAAGCGCAGGCGCGGCGTTGCTCAAACGTACCGCAAACGTGAGGTTCCCACGAATCTCGACATCATCGAGGAGAATGAGTTGGAAGAGAAGCGCACGCCGCAGTCTAGTGAGGCACAGGCACCCAACATCATCGCGGACAGAGTCGTGCTCAACCCACCCAACTACTTGAATCATGACGCCGCCCGCATCATTCCGCAGAAGAGAGACCGCGATGAGCTTCAGCATATGCCCACTGGTCCCTCCGGTCTGGACTGGAGCAACCCGCCCGTCCTCGACACCGACCGACTGCAAAAAAAGCTCCACACCGAGGACGGTGCGACGCAAACCGCCTTTACACATTTATGGGAGGCGTACGAGCGCCGGCAGAATTCGTACATTTACTGGAGAGACCTGGCCAGGAAGCGTAAGCTCGAGGAGGAGGATGCACAGAGGGAGAGGGACGAGGAGGAGCGCATCAAGCGAATCGCGCACCTCAAGGCGCAGCCCTTTGCCAACATTTACGTGCCATCCGCGCGCCGCCAAATGCCGCTGCAGGCACCGGCACGATCACATGCCCAAGCTCCAGGACCAAGACTCCCCCCATCCCACATGACGCTTCGATCCGGCCGCATCGTCGTCACCAACGCGGGCCATATCCGCCGGTGGAAATGCGCCTTTTGTTGCAAGACAGCGGCGTGCACACGGCACCGCGTCTACTGGAAGGACAACTACGAGATGATGGACCTGTGCCTGACTTGTGAGCACCGCATGAAGCGGGGCGAGATTCTCAACTATGTTGCGGATGCTGCGCGTGACGACGATTCTGTGAATGCCATCTCCTCGAGCACCAACACAGACACCTCGTCGAATTCCGGAAGCGCTGATTCGGATGTGGTCATGTTTGATGTGATTGACGTCGACGCACAAGGCAATGCAGGCGACAGGCAGCCAGCTGCGGCAGGCGGCGTGGACGTTCAAGTCCAAGTCGACGCTAATGCGGTACATGCAGACGATGCTCTTGTCGTCGTCGTTCCAAACGTCCAGCTGGGCGTCCAACAACCAGTAGCTGCGGCGCCTGTAGTCGGCTACCGCGACATGTTCTGGACAAACAATCCGCTCGGCCAGATGGTGCAGAGAGCCTTCAACCTTGACTTCTCGGCCATCTTTAGTGCTTTTGTCTTTAGAGAGCCAAACCCACCCGATCAACCGCAGCAACCGCAACAGCCGCAACAACCACAACGGCAACCCGCACCACACGCAGTCATACCTGGCTCCTTTCCTACGACCCGACCAATTGCAAAACCCCGCCGCCGTCGCGCTGAACCACCTCGGCAGGCCAGAGATTCCCAGGCAGCTCGCGGCCAGCACATTGCCAATGTTCAACCAGGTCGCAGTCGTCGGGCCCAGCCTTCCCGCCGGGCACCAGCAATGGGCCCCAACGACCCGCGCTTTTTCTTTGGCTACCTCGCGTAGCAGTGGTAGGTTCTATGCCATTTTGCTTTCTGACTTAGGCTGGCTCCTAGTTGTAAAGTAAGTAGCAGAATATTATATACGCGGTAAGTTTTGGGATTTTTTTTTTTACGTTTACTTTTGCTTTTTATTTTATTTTATTTTTTAATACAAATTGTTTAAAAACCATCACAGATACAAATTCCAGATATGAAAAGTTACAAGGCTCGTTTTACTTATTTTCATTTTACATCTTCATGTACGACGTCGAGTACTGACGAAATGATATATTTTCACAAATATTACAATAACCTGACACGCAACCTCGCAAAAACAAACATAAACAACTGCGTCCGTGACTCGTCACGTGAATTATTCGATTTACTAATACGGATGCGGCGGATCCCGGGCTCCCTTGTTGGCCGGGAGCTCTGGCCAATGGCGTCACGCTCTGGGTTTTAGTGTGTTGTTTTGCCCCATTGGCTCACTCTCAGCCTGACGCCTCCTAGCGCCAGTGCAGTTGTAGGCCACACACGACCTCAGTCACACACAGCCTCCAGCCGCCCTTGGGCGCAAAGACCGTTGCGGCGTGCAGCGGGTGGGCGAACACCGACCGAATCCTCAACAAGATCCTGCCAGGAGCAGTGGCCCAAAATGCCAGCCAAAGCGAGCGCTGCCCGTCCTCGTCTCCTACCTTTCCGTGAAAACATGAACTGGGCCGTTCGGTGACAAAACTTGCCACCTCAAGGTCACCCTCCTCGCTGCTTCGCAGTTTTCTTTACTTTTACTCACGCCCCTCTCACTCTCCTCGTTTCTCGTATTCTACTCAGACAGGGCACCGACTCCTGTCCTCACCATTTGCTTGCTGCAGCTATACACGACGTCTACATAAGCAGAAAACAGAAGCACGTTCGACATCAAGTGCACATATCACCCCGACTTCTGCACTGCACCGACGACGTCGTGCCTCCGACCGACCCTCGAGATCGACATCCGACATACCGTCCTCTCGCTGGGACGATCGTCACAAACAATCGCTACTTCACCACGACTCCACGATACGTCCCACGCTGGCATTCCGATGGCGTCCTCGCGGAAGCGCTGGATGTTGACGGAGGACAACCTGCGCCGGTTCCAGCCTTCCCTGATCCAGCCCATGGAGCCCGTGTCCATATCCTCGCGCGACGATGGCGACAACGATGCTGTAGCCAACGAGGACCCCGCCGTCGACGCAGTGATTGCGCGCGAAGCACCTGCCGCCCGCGTGGCTCGCCTACGGTCCTGGGTCTACAACGCCATGCTGACGCTAGTGGGGCTCGGTGACGAGGGCGTGGCGGTCCTGGCAGATGAGGAGCTCTACATTGCAGGGCCCGGTGACGTCAGGTTAGCACCCAGATACCGCAAATGGACGACAGCGCGGTTAAAACAAGGTGCCGAGGGGGCCGAGGGGGCCGAGGGGGCTGAGGTGGAGGCCGATCAAAGGCACCATTACCGCAATAGCGACGATAACAACGACGACGACAACAACGAGACGGAAGAACAGGAACAGGAGGGACCGGACTTGAGTGACCCGGCGTACTGGCAGGCCAAGCTGCGCTACCTCGAGGCCAAATGCCGGCCACTGAGCCAGGCGCACAGGAAGCGTCGGCGGTTAGCACCTGCGTCACAGATTGCTGCCGAAGACGCAGCGCGTGCCGAGGCGGAGGCCAGTGCGGCCGAGGGTCGCGGGTACGGCTGCGGCTACGACTTTCCAAGTGGCCGAAAGCAGCAGCAGGAGCAAGCCGCAGCCCAAGTCCTCTCCGACGAGCAGCGGCAGGCACGTGAGGAGGCACGCGCGGAGGCACGCGCGGAGCAAGCTCGCATCGAGCAGAGCAAGCTGTTGTGGCGTGACAAGCGCGGCAACATCGAGCGTTGGGTGCAGACGCTACCACCGCCTCCTGCTCTGCCCAAATCGTCGCCCCGGGGCCAGGCGTACTGGTCCACCACTGGTGGTGTGCCACACCTTCCTTACGGCGGTCTGGGCGGTCCGGCGTTTGATAGTCAGCATGACCTTCCGGTCACCTATTACCAGCAGCCGGCAGCAGTGCTGTCAGACTCGTCCATTGTTGAAATTACTCCAGCGCAGTTTTCCAACGTGCATCCAGATCCTCCGCATGAGACGCAGCAGCAGCAACAGCAGCAGCAGCAGCATCAACCGCAAGACGTCCGCGAGCAGTCACAGGCAACAACGGCCATGCGTGCACCTTATGACGCTGTGCTGGACGCCGAGAGGACAGCCCTCACTGCACAACCTGTGCCGCACCACACTACATCAAACGACGTGGCCGATGCATCTCTCGACCTTTCGGCTGTTACGGGAGCTACGGCCCCGCCCACAGCAGCCACCCCGGCTACGCAACCCATTGAGACGCCCTATACGAGTGCATCGCCCGGCGAAGTGCCAAACGGGGATGATGTGTCCGGGCCAATTGGGGCAGCGTCGCACAAACGTGGGAGCCACGGACAGCAGAGCACGCCTGCCGCCCGGAGCAAGCGGCGACGAGTCGGTACCGACACGGACAATGACTGCGGCAAGGTGTGATGACCCGTCCTGCGTGCCCGTGGAACATCCAAGTCACCGATTTTCTTTTGCATCTCTCCATAGTTCGCCCCCTATTTTACTAGCATTTTGGCGCAATGGCAAGCGAGCGTGGACTAGGCGTGCACTTTATTTATCACTCCAACCCTGTTATACCCTTTTGTTCTATTTTTTTTATCTCCTTTATTCTCTGCCACTCGTTGTTTCTAGTATTCGAATTATCTTTTCCCAATCTATGAGGCTCTCTTTTTCTACATTTTGACCGTTTCCGTTCTGTTTTTGATGTACCATCTTGTATATATCGCTCGTAAATGCGCCTCGCTTTATGTGTGTCATATACGTGGCTCTGGCTCTGGGGCGGCGAACATAGCCAAGGCAGCTTTACATGCCCAAGTATCAAACTAAGCCTGCCTTCTTTTTTATTTCTGCGTAAACATTTTATACATCGTGACCGTCTGTATGTCTTTCTTTTGCAAATCGCCATGAAACTAGCGTCAAAAGATGCAAAATTGATCGCGAACGGGAATACGGTTTAGTGCCCGTCCCCATCAGCACTTGTCACTGCCGTTTTGCTTATGTGCCTTACAGTACTGCGGATGAATACGACCCTGATTTTCTGACGGCATGCGGCTCTGAAATGTGTAGATCGCATTGCGAATTGCACTCTCACTTGACTCCCAATCAGGACTCATTCTACCTTTTGCAAGACTTGTACAGTTGTATACAGGTATCAAGAAGGAACGGCAGAGGCGATGCGATACCGCAAGTTCATACCTGAGAACAAAAACTGCGGTTGACGCCGCCGATGATTTCGACGGCCCGCTAGGCTGTGACGATATGATACGAGCAAACCGGGCCAGGAGGGATCAAAATCTCTCAGTGTCCGTTTCACTCTGATAATTACTATCCTGGTTCGTCCCCGTTGCGAACGTAACCTTCCGTGTTGAGTGTGTGGTAATGGACTGTGGTAAGTAATTACGGCGTATGTTTTGGCAACTTTTTTGGCGCGTTTATGGGCGGTATTGGCCTCGCCTTCACATGCGGACCGCGGCTTTCTACTATGTGGGACGGGCCATTTTACTGGCGTACCGCTGTGCCTTCTAATACGGCGGAGGAGCAGGATGGAACTGAAGTCGGGTCTGGTCTTGGGAGCTTTCCCCGCAGAATCCGAAGCGACGGGCGCCGTTAGTGGCACCGCCCTGATCCCACCCATTTCGTGAGAAAATGGCTTCTTCCCCGGATTTTATTAAGCTCCGAATATACGAGGTGATGGGCAGAAAGAACGACCTCGACAATCGCCAGTCGAAGCAAGGCACAAGTTGATACGAGCTCTACGGCAAACCTGGAAAGAAACATCTCACAAACGGCCCACCACGAAGCTCCCTCTCGTCATGTCCGACACATCTGCCGACACACCTGCCACGCCGCAGGCGATCATCATCGGCCATGGCCTCGCCGGTCTCGTCGCCGCCTACGAGCTGACGCTGCGCGGCGTCAACGTTGTCATTGTCGACCAGGAGACCCGGGCCAACCTCGGTGGCCAAGCCTTCTTCTCGCTGGGCGGCCTCTTCTGCGTCGACTCCAAGGCCCAGCGGTCGCGCGGCATCAAGGACTCGCGCGCCCTGGCGTTGCGCGACTGGCTCGGGACCGCCAAGTTCGACCGGCTCGATACGGAGGACCGCTGGCCGCGCCAGTGGGCCGAGGCCTTTGTCAACTTCGCCACGGACGAGTTTGAGCAGTACGTCACCAATCTGGGCCTGTCCTTTATCCAGGTTGGCTGGGCCGAGCGCGGTGACGGCGCCGCCGACGGCCACGGCAACTCGGTGCCGCGTTTCCACCTGACCTGGGGCACGGGTCCCGAGGTCGTGCGCGTCTTCAAGGAGCCGGTGCTGGCGGCCGAGAAGCGGGGGCTCGTGACGTTTTTGCATCGGCGCAGGGTCGACCGCTTGCTCACAGAAAACGACGACCCCCAGGGCCGCATAGTGGGCATTGCCGGCAGCGTGCTCAAGGACGATGACACCGTCCCCCGTGGCCGGCCGACATCGCGCGACGTTGTCGGCGCTTTTGAGCTGCGCGGTGCGTGCGTGCTGGTGGCGTCGGGCGGCATTGGTGGCAATGTCGAGGCCATCAAGAAGGCGTGGCCGGTGGATCGGCTGGGCCCCAACGTGCCCAAGTCGTTTGTGGTGGGTGTGCCGGCGCACGTCGACGGGCGTATGATGGGCATTGCGGAGTCGGCGGGCGCCCACATGGTCAACCGGGACCGCATGTGGCACTACACCGAGGGCCTGGAGAACTGGGACCCCATCTGGCCGAACCACGGCATTCGAGTGCTGCCGGCGCCATCGTCGTTGTGGCTGGACGCCACGGGCAAGCGGCTGCCTGCGTTCTTGTTCCCTGGGTCCGACACGCTGGCGACGCTCAAGCACATTTGCGCCACGGGCTATGA